GGGTCTCGAAACCGTGGGCTCAGGCAATCCACTCACCTCAGCCTCCCAAAGGTGCGGGATTACAGGTTGAGGCACCGAGCCCGGCTGGGAAATGATTTTCAAATATCCTTGGCCATGGCCTCTCTCTGCTTGGTGATGGTAGCTTGTCTACCAGAAGACCTGCTTCTCTCACAGGAAAAGCTGGTGGGGACCGGAGGGAAGGGGAAGTGCAGATGGATGAGTATACTTAAAAGGAATGGAAGATTCATGCAGGAATTAGACAGTCCCAGGCATCCGGAATCCTTCCAGCCGCTCAGCACTGAATCCAAATCCACTAACCCGGGGGATACTCAGGCCCTTACCCAGTCACTTTCCCAGGTGTCTGGTGACTGTCTCGGTCACTGTCTTTCTCAGTCTTATCCTCATAGGTCTGTATTTCTTTTTTTTTTTTTTTTTTTTGAGTTGGAGTCTCACTCTGTCGCCCCGACTGGAGTGCAGTGGCCGCTCCCGGCCACCGCAGCCTCGACCTGCTGGGCTCCGGCGATCCTTCCGCCTCAGCCTCCCAAGTAGCTGGAACTACAGGCGCGTGCTACCACACCCGGCTAATCTTCGATTGATTGTAGAGATGAGGTCTCGCCAAGTTGCCCAGGCGGGTCTCGAACCCGCGGGTTCAGGCCATCCACTCACCTCAGCCTCCCAAGGTGCGGGATAACAGGCTGAGCCACCCAGCCCGGCTCTGGTTGTCCTCTTTGCATACGTAGCACACTCAGGTGGTGGTTCATGGGTGCATGCCGAATGCCCCGACGCAGGGCTTGCATGCTCCTTGTGGGACCTCCCTTCTCACGTCTCCTGCTTTGTGTTGTGTTGTCCGGGCAGAGGACAAGATCTGGACGTCGGTGCCTCACAACCGTACAGAGCTGACCCATGTGCGGGGCGCCAACCCTGAGAAACCCTATGCCGTGGCCTTGGACTACGCAGGCAGCATGGAGCAGCTGGAGGCCGTGATCGACAGCTCGGAGCACTGTGAGCAAGAGGTCGCCTACCACTGCCGGAGGTCCCGTCTGCTCAACACACCGGGTAAGTCCCACCCTGCTCCCGTCCCTCTGCATGGTCCGTGCGGGAGCGACCCCAGGGAGAAAGAGGGCTGCCCAAACCCGGAGTCCCGGGGAGCGGGGTGTTTGCCGAGAAGGGAACAGCAATCACAATTATTTACTGTGCACTGAAGAGAAAGGCAGCCAGCAGAGGTCTGGCGATGCAGTATCCTGGCTCTGAAACCCAGGGAAGGACCTAGGGCGAGTTCTGCCGCTTCTCATGGGGTTGTCATCATCATGGAAAAGTCAATGCTGACAAGACCCATCCTGCCACATTGCTGAGGCTGAAGGGCTTCTAGAGAGCAAAGGCCCTTGCAGTCAACGTTTGAGTGCAGCATAGAAAGCTTGAGTTAGGAAATACGCCGTCTGGGAGAGGGCATAGGAGGTGAGACGGTACCAGGATCTCACCCACCCACCCATGAGGCATGAATTATGTCTTGGACCCAGGCTGCCTGAGGATCAGTAGAAGGCGAGGAAGCCAGCGAGGCCAGCCAGGCAACCCGTGGACACACAGTGGCACCTGAGAAGGCCTTCGTGGAAATTTTGAAACAAAATCTTTTGCAAAAATTAGGCTCCACCTATTTATGTTTATGGTTATATTTTATGGTTTATATTATGTGTTTTTATGGTTATGCTTTAGAGTGAATGGTCGATTTAGTAATCAACACGTTTGCAACATGAAACTGACAAAAAAAAAAGAAACAAAACAAAACAAAAACTTCTAAGACTGCTTACCAAGATCCAAGAGAGTTTCTGCAAGTTGTCACGAGGGGCTTGTCAAAGTTTTTGTGTGCCCTGGGAGTCAGTCATTTTTGTAAATGTCAGTTCATCATTTGTTTCACGGGGGAAAAAAGGCCACGGGGTGTACAGCATCCAAGAACGGATGTCACAGTCTTTAGCTCTAAGAAGCTTACAGTCCAGTGCTTGGAAGTCTGGAATTTTATAAGGCTAGAGAAAAACAGACAATAAAATGTCAACAGAGGGGAAGTGATAGAAGCCTAACTGTATACAATGCCCTGCCTCGCTGATCTAGAATCTTCAGGGAAGACGTTGTTCCACATAAGCGAATTTTCCAGATAACTGTCACTTATCCTTTTAAGCCCCAAAAATCTTTCCAAGGAATTTTTAACTATTTGAAATGAAAATCTCTCTCAAATGGCTGACATGCTTCCTTGCCTCCTTAAACCGAGAATTCTGAACATAAAATCTAACCTTTTCTTGATGGCTCAGGATCATCATTGTGAAAATCAATGACTGTACTCTCCTTGGATGCAGCCATGCTTGCAGGGCTGAGTCGATCTGAGGCACTGGCTGGCGACCCTTTTCCCAGAGTCCGCAGAGGGCGCTGCCCTGTGAGAGTCAATGTTCCCACTTTATCATATTTCTCTTGCCCAGCTATCCATCCTGTGCATGCTACTGGCTGCACTGTTCTCGGGGACCTGTCTCCTGAAGCAGCCCCTCTCACTCTTCGTAGTGTTGCTTCTAGTTTCCCAAGTACTAGGTTTGGTGGAATTGGAGGAAAAATGGGGTAAGTTCATTTTGACTGTGGGACTATGCATTCTGTGATTTCAGTCTGGCGACATCACTCTCTTTGTCCTTGTGTTTTTTTTCCTAACGCGACTGTCTGGCCTCCCTGATCTTGTTTTCAGGGGGAGGGCATGGATTTGACAGCAGGCCGTATTAGGAGTCAGGGCTTGACTCTGCCACTTACTGGTTATGGGACCTTGGTCAGTGGCTCAATTTCTCCAGCTTCAATCGCACCATCTGAAAAGTTTGCAGAAAATCTTAAACCCATAAAGCTGATATGAGGACTGAAAGAGAACTGTAGACTCAACTCATTGTGCCACACCTGGTACGTATCCGTGTCCAGAAAACACAGCTTCCATCCCAGCAGGGAAGGTCCACGTTGTGTGCCATAATGAGAAATACCCGTAGGTGAAGTGGTGGCTACAGAACACTCATTTGCAGAAGCCCCATGTAGATGTGGCCCCGGCCACGTACCCTCCCTGCTGGAAGCCACCTGGGTCCCCATGCAGGGGAGCCCACCTCCTGGAAACAGGCACGGAAAGGACAGTGTGTACCATTCATAGTCACATGGACCTGAGAGCCAGAGCCCGGAGCCCACACTTACATGAATATTCTCCTGGTCTTTGTTATCACTAAGCCACTTGCCTCCCCAGGGGAAGACCAAGGACAGAAGGAGAGGAGGGTAGAGGCCGTGTCCCCCTTACCTGTCTGTGGAGTCTAGGAGAGTGGGTCAAGTTTCTCTGTTATCAGCTGAATCTGGGGTGTGGGCTGAAAAAAGATTTCTGATCCTATAATACTGTTTTACGTCCTGTATTTCATACACAAAGCATGCAAAATAGCTTCCAGATCAATAAATATGACTTTACACAATCATTGTTGTGAACACCAGTGTATTCCATTATATAGATGCATTCCAATTAACAGATCTTCTACCTGGACGTGTAGATTGCTTCCACTTTTCTGTTACAACAAATAATGCTGCAAGAACATTGGTGCATGTAGATCTTTGTGAGCATAACTGATTATATCCTCTGGGTAAATTCCTTGAGGGGCCATTTCCAGGGCAGAGAGTGTGCATATTTTTAAGACTCTTGCCACATTGACTTCTGCAATGTATCAAGGTTGTACCAATGTATACTCCTCAAAACACGGTGGGATTGTGTGCTCATTTCCCAGCAATAGCTATTACCATCTCGCTTTAACTTTGACGATCTCATAAATATAAAGAGAGATCGAAGGCAATTACGAGGGCGGGTTCCCCCAAAAAGAGGACCGTTTGTTGGAGGGCAGGCCACTCGTAGTCCAGGCTTTCCCCACAAAGTGAGCATTATAGGGACCCATCAGCATCCGTGTACCAGCGTACTAGTTGTAGTGAGAGGCTGCATTTGGCTTTGGTGATTTTTTTTGGAAAATTATTTCCATGCATTTGTCCATTTCATGATGGTTGATTCCATGATGGTTGATTTCATGAGAGTGCACCTTCAGTTTTGATGAAAACTGGCATGGCCCTCATGCCCTGCGCTCTATCTTTACCCGATCTCACCCCCAAGAGGCTTTTTTTGTTGCTTCCCCAGATGAAAAAGTCCTCAAAGGGAAACATTTTGCTGATGTGAAACAAGGAACAAAAAATGGCAGAGGCACTAAAGGCCAAAATTGATGGGTTCAAAAACAGTTTTCAGCAGTGGAAAAAGCATCTTGATAGGTGTATTGCATTAAACAGAGAGTACTTTGAAGGTGACTGAAGTTAAACATGTAAGAATAAATAAACAATTTTTATAAATAAATCCCAGGTTTGGGGGTTACCCCCTGTGTGATATTTCTGCTGTTATTTTTAAATGTATAGGCTGATTCCCATAACTTTTTTCCCATAACTCTTTTGATTCTCATAATTTTTTGGCTAACTGGTAGCCAGGATAGAAGAAGCTATGAAATACTATACTTTGTGACTGCACATAGATTTAAATCGGTAAGAAGAGAATGTGGAACATTCTTACTTGCCATAGACTATACTCTGTACTACACATAATAGGTAAGAAAGGGAAGAAATTAGCCGGGCTTGGTGGCTCAGCCTGTCATCCCGCGCCATTGGGAGGCTGAGGTGAGTGGATTGCCTGAGCCTGCGGGTTCCAGACCCGCCTGGGCAGGAGAGACCTCATCTCTACAATAAATAAAAAAATCAGCCGGGTGTGGTAGTGCATGCCTGTAATTGCAGCTACTTGGAAGGCGGAGGCGGAAGGATCGCTGGAGCCCAGCAGGTCGAGGCTGCGGTGGCCGGGAGCGGCCACTGCACTCCAGTCTGGGTGACAGAGTGAGACTCCAACTC